AACCAAACAGAGAGTTGACGCTTGGACAAGTTTTGTTGAAGGCAGAAGTTGGTGTTGTCGGAACAATTTACATTCAAGATGAAGAAGAGACGATGCATATTTGAAGGAGGTTTCTTTCGGTGGAAGTACAAAATGTCACATCTTGGCTATAGTTTCGATATTGTTTTCTTGAAATCCTTAAATTGTCTTTGTTCGACGAAGAGGAGCCGTTTTTCTGCATGAATTCGAGATCAAAACATTTTCGAATTTAACCTTTTTTTGGTTGTTGTCCATGAATAAAATATTGTTGCGACGAATTATCTGTTGAAAGGAAGAACTTGGCGAAGAATTTCCAGCAAATGTGAAGGAGATAACATTGCTTGCAACTGGGTTTATCCATCATGCTTGATCAAAAAGAGGCATTGTTGTCTTGAAGGAGAAACTGCAGTTACTTCGAGTATCTTACAAATATCCCGAGTTGTCTTGCGAAGAAGATTAAATAAAGTGAAGGAGTGAAGGAGTGCTTGGTCGATCAGGCTATCTTATATGATTATTTGATTTGATTCAAAAGGGGTTTTTTTGTCTTGAATGTTCACAGTCTCCAGTTTTCAATAAGAACATTAGACCCCAAAACGACTTGTCAACTTTGACACTGATGCACGCGTGGAGAATCTGTCAATCACCGAGAGTGCAATCCCAGACGAATTACTTCAGCGATAAAAGGCGCGTGCCAGCTGCCACATAACTTTTACCCAAGAGAACAATAGGACTGAACGCGCATCCGCGGCCACGTGCCGACATGGGGTTCAAAGGTCATACAACTTTTCGCGACCCAGGGGCCAGACATTCCTTATAAGGAATTAACAGGTGTTGATCTCTTTCATATCCAAATTAACCCTCCTTCACTTCAGACAATACCGCGGGGAGAAAAATCAATACTGTGCCATGTCGACCAAAAGAAATACATTTGACTTAGCTACAGGAAAAAAAGTTCCTGAAGTGGGGGCTAATTAATTTTGGAATGTAAAAGAGGGACAAACTTGGGGCGAAATACCTTCAATCATGTTGAAAAGCATTGGCTGCAGACAACAAAATATATCTGAAGCTGGGAGCCAATTAAATCTAGCCTGCAAAATAGTGTCAAACTCGGAGAAATACCTTGAGTTATGTTTTAAAAAATACATTCGTCTACAAATAAAACTGAATACTTGAAGTTCTGGCTATAGAAAATTTGGGAACAGAAAATATCTGTTTGAACTATCTGGTTCGGAGATTTTGTAGCTCCGAATACAAATCAGATTTTAAACTTGTACAATATGGGAAAGCTTGGAATACATTTTTCAACAAAAACCTGTTATTACATTATTTAACAAAATCCCATCATTTTTACGAGCTGTACATACTAGAAATCTAGACAGAACTTCAGGTAAATAAAGTGGAAACTTTTCATGAGAAACTAAGTGAAAATGATACATGTTTTCTGAAAGACTCGGAGTGCACTTCTGTTTTTGCAATTCACAAAATACAGGTAGACACTAGGTACTCGAATTCTGGACAAACTTGAAAACCTAAAAAAATACTTGTAGGTCTTTTTATAAATAGAATAGCAAGTATGAAAAAGGACACACAACTATTTCCTGCAATTTGTGATTGAAAGGGGGGGGGGGGGTACACATTTCAACTTTACCCATTATTTTGGGAAATTTGCAAAAAGTACATGTAGGTCTAGACACTCAAAATGTGGATACAAAATCTGACAAATATGAGGTCATTTTATTTTAGAAATGGAAACAACAAGTATGAAAAGGTTACACAACTTTTTCCTGCAAGTTGTTATTGAAGGTGACAGGATAGACTCAGAGTATATTTTTCAACTATACCCATTATTTATGGAATTTGTAAAAAGTAAATGTACACACTCTAAATTTGGATGCAAAATTTCAAAAAAATAAGTCATTTTTATAAAAAAGAACAGCAAGTATGAAAGGGACACACAACTATTGCCTGCAATTTGTGATGGGGGGTACACTTTTCAACTATACCCGTTATTTTGGGGAATTTGCAAAAAGTAAATGTAGGCCTAGAAACTCAAAATTTGGATACAAAATCTCAAAAAACATTAGGTCATTATTCTTATAAATAGAAACGAGAAATATGAAAAGGATACACTCCTTTTTCCTGCAATTTGTCATGGGGGGGCAGACTCTAAGTATTTTTTTCAAGTATACCCATTAATTTTTGGAAATTGCAAAAGGTACATGTAGACACTCAAACTTTGGATACAAAATTTCAAAAAATGAGGATGTGTTTATATTTGGTTAGAAATAGAACAACAGGTGTGAAAATGATACACAACGTTTTCCTGCATTTTTATTTAAAAGGCTGAGCAGATTCAGAGTACATTTTCAACTATTCTCTTTATTTTTGGAATTTGCAAGAACAAGCACAAATGTAAACTCTTGAAAGTTGGATGTAAAATCTCAATATAGGAGGTATATTTTTGTTTTATAAACAACAAGTGTTTAAAGATACACTACTATTTCCTGCAATTTGTATTTGAAAAGTGGGGGGGGGGGGGCGAGACTCGGATTAGTCCTATATTTTCCAACTATGACCCGTTATTTTTGAAATTTTGCAAAAAAATAAGCCACAGGAGACACTTGAAATCTGGACACATGGGGAGGTCATTTCTACATAGCCAATGGAAGTATGAAAGGATACACAACAATTTCCTGCAACAATTAACAACAATTCACTTACCTCGGAAATTGTTTCTGACTTACCAACTGCCGAATTTTCAACTTGTCCGCACAATAAATTCCACAGAAAATATTCCACACAGGCAGTTTATAATCCATGGCACTGGAGTATGATAGATGTTTCACAGTTTTATAGTTCACAGTTCAACTCATGTATTTATCTCAGTTTCTTGAAAATAGAAGTGCAGTTCTTCAAGTTTAAATGTCCAACTACTGCTGGGGGCTGTATGCCCAGCCGCCCAGGCTAAAGCAAAAGCGAATTCAGAGTTAATGACAAGTTGCTCTCAGAGTTCGTTTAAGTTCGGTTAAAGCGATATTTTCACAAACTTTCACTTACGAAAATTCCATGGGAAGAAATCCGAGAAATGAGTGATGCGACACTCCGTCAGGGGAGGAAACGCAGCCGTAGTTCATTTCCCAAAAACATCACTGGAGGTTCAGTTCAAAAGTTTGTTCCGTATGAAGTTTAACTCACGACACATGTAAGGAAGGACCTCGGAGAACTGAGTGCAGAACTTGGAGTGCGGTGATTCCCCAACAGCGGCGAGACTGGCCGCGTGGAAACCCGGCCGCAGCTAACGGTGTGACCCGTCTGCGCAGCCGAGTCCCCGGTAACAAATGTTGAAGCTTGTCTTTCCCAAAGAAATACTCCGCAGTTAAGTCCACAAATCCACGCCAAAGTCTTGCTCACATTGAGTTAGTGAGACTTGTACTGAAAGTCTGTTCCGTATAAAGTTGAACTTACGACACATGCGAAGGAAGGACGTCGGAGAACTGAGTGCAGAACCTGGAGTGCGGTGAATTAGCAGAGGTGGAAAAAACGCCCATCACACAGAAAACGCGCTGTGACCCCGTCTGCGCGGCCGAGTGTTCCGTAGCAAATTTTGAAGCTCGTCTTTCCCAACGAAATACTCCGCAGAAGTCCACGAATCCACGCCGAAGTAATGCTCACATTATTTCCATTGAGTTAGTGATAACAGTAGTTTTGTACATTAGAGAAATCCGCAGAAAATGTAAACTTTTAGCGGACAAAAGAAAAGTGCAGTCCATTTGCAGTCGGCTTTGAGCTCAATTACTGCAAATTTGCTGGCGCTCCAAACGACAGGTTGAGTGATCAGGCTCGATATTCATTTTACACGAAATTTCCAGCATCGCAAATGTGTTAATACGCGGCTGATGTTTCCTACTAAAATAAGACAATATTAGATATTTGCAGCACTCTTTCAATTATTCGTGACTTTTTTTACACTGCATTCACTGCAAAAGGTCAGAAAGGCTGTTACTTCCATAAAAAAAAGTCTTAATATAATCATATTTTGATAAAACTATCCGGCCTATTTTCTTTAAACGAGTAGAGATATCGCGATAAGACAGGTCGAGTCGGTCACGCACTCGGCGTGAAGAGAGTGTTTCCTATTGGTCGGAAGTAGAGTAATACAAGTTTTGATTGGCAGATGGGAACTGGACTTGTTTACTTGCTGTTTTCAAAACCTCGACTTCGTTCCGGCTTCGGTTTCGTCGATATCTGGGATCAGAAATCAATGGAAGCTCTTTTAACGTTTTAATAAAACAAAATACGAATAAATGCACTCTGATATTTTTGCCCAATATTATAATTTTTGGGTTGTGTTTTAGGACACACTAGAGGACTGTGTGGTTGGGATAATCGGAACGCTTAGTATGCAATCATGCAGTTGTGTGGGCCGAACCACTATAGTTTCACACAATTTCGTGAAGTTGACCAAGACATGGTAATGATGGCAGTAAAGCAGTCGGGTCACGCACCGCGTACGGGTCAAGTCATGATCACATCACACCGTACGGATTCTTCTAAAAAAAAAAAAGGAAATAATTGAAGACCGTTTCTTTGAAAAATGTGCACTTTGTATTTTATTTTAATAATAATTTCAATGAAGGTCCATGCACACTGCGAACGCCCCCTCTTGTTGACCTAGTTTATTTTATACATGTATTATGCAAATTGCAACGTGTAAACAAACTGACGTCATTACTTCCGGAAGCGAAAGGCCCGACTAGCCCGTCTATAAATCCATCCACTAAAACCAAAAAATATATAGCCCGCGCGGAATAATTTTAACCTTGTTCGTGGAAAGAGAGTTCTTGTTTTTGCATTTTATGTATGGATTTCGTATAGAGATTAAATGTATTTTTTGGCGAATTTACGTCAACAAGAAAGAATGACTCGTGCGGGATTACTTTTTTAAGCGGACGATTTTTGCGTCCAGTTCGACGTCACGAGATTTGTGAATGACTGACTCAGTCTGCGGCGCGCGAGTGTGTGTGTAGTGAAGTTCCATGCATCCACGTTGCTCAGCTATCGTGTAACGTGTGTGAGTTGGTGCGGTTTTTCTTGGAAATACTGGGAGCCTAGCAGTGCCCGCCCCCAATTCTGCACCCAGATCAAGATCCTGATGTAAGTGAATTTCTATTTTTTTGTAAACGTGAATTGAGATTTGAGTCATCATCAGATTTCTTGTGATGTTTCTGACAAAAATACTGCTGCATGCTGTGCAGTGCCAGTGCCATTGTGAGTCAAGTGTTGCGGCGCTGGCCGGCCGGCACGGCCGAAATTAATGAACATGACATGAAAGATGGCGCGTGCGCTATTAATCGTGACATTCACTTGTCGGGCATTTTGCATGATCATGATGATGGTTCCCATATGTGGCCATCACTAATTTTCCCTTCAGTGACTTATCAGCCATCAGAAAATGATAATATGTCCTAAAAAGTCAAAATTAGCTGGGAAAATATTGAAGTATTTACTGAGAAAACACTTAGAAATTTTCAGACCAGTCTGTGCACAGCTAGGGCATTGTAGGGTGCCGATGACAAGTGATAGCCAGATATGGGAATCTTCCCTCTCCACTCATCATGCACTTAGCTGACTACACATGCTACAGCCTACAGTTTAGGGTATACACAAAATGGTAGCAATACAACTTTATAATATAGGCATGATAGTCTAGGCCAGTCCATTGACCCTTTCTACAATTGTAGACAAATCCGTTACTTCTATTTTTCAAATTCCCAAAATGTGTAACTTATTTATTTTATTGATTTGTTTCAAATCCTATTTTCTATTGAACTTACGTTAATTTTTAATTCATTGCAGGGGTGTGAAATCTCAGCTTTATAGCTGATTTCAGCTTTTTTTGTTTTGGATTTCAGCTATTTTCCCTCACTTGCTGTGTACAAAAGTATAGGAGATTTCCAAAGTTCAGCTTTTTTTACACCTTTTTCAGCTATTTTCAGCTATTTTTTCAGAGGTCACTCACACCCCTGTCATTGATCTGGAGGAAGTAAAGTTTGAGAACAAATGAAAAATAAAACGGAAAAAATGTTGCAACCTGACGCCACTTTTTTCTTCATATATATCATCTCAATGAATGTCAGTCATTGCTAAAACGATGATAAGACATGCATCTGGGACTGAGAAACATTTCCAATTTTGTTAGGAAATACTTAGAAAATTTTCTTGACTCTCCATAGACTTTGTACACACTCCAGACAGGGCTCTGGAGTGCTCTGAAACGTGCAAAACTAAATCAGCGCTCAGCCCCACTTTACTCACAGTTTAGCCAGCAAATTTCTCCAAAAATTCCACTGGGGCAAAGAAAATGTCCTCAATATACCACCTACCAAGTTTGCAGACTCAATTCAATTTTTAAAGGAGACTTTTCTTCAATATTTTGCACATGAGAGGGAAGTCAAGTGATTTCAAAATGGGGCTAATTAAATACTAGACTGGTACATTGTACATGTCCATCCATGGTACAACTATTTGAAAAGACTGACCTCTTCATTCAGTGTCAATAGTCTGGTGGCTTGACTATGGAGAAATGTGTAGTAAATTGAGACTAGTTCCCACTTCATGCCACACGTTTCTTCAATTTTTTTGGCATGGTTGATTGATGCAGTACTGAAGCTGTGTTGGACTGGTTGTTTTAGGTGCCAGTCTACTTTCTTGTTTTGCATGTTTTCAATACCTTAAGTTTTGGGACTCTCATACACAGTATTGAGAGTCCCAAGTTTTCGGACTACATCTGGTCTACACATTGAGGTGGATTCAGCCAATTGGCATTAGGGGGTAACCCTACGATAATTCTGCCCTGCTTCAATCAACAGTCAGTCAGCCAGTCAATCATTAAGTCAGTCATTCCGATCTATATACAGAGGACACTAGGATAACCCTTGGGACCCCCCCCCCCCCAAAAAAATAAATCATGAAAAAATTGGGAAAGTCTGTGAAAAACAGAACAGGACGTGTGATGGTCCACATCAGAAAAACAATCCACATCCTCACCAGATATATTTCAACACTTTCCGGTGGTAATCTGTTTGTCGTCAGGACAACCATGATGTCATTGGAGACAATAATTATGCAAATATCGGTTTTGATTAGTCCTGTAGATTATGATTACAGCGAGTACAAAAAAATACATTTGATCACAGTGACACACATTAGGCAAATTTAAAAAAAAAAATTCTCGTCCAGGCTTTTTGAAAAAGGTAACTGGTAACCTGTAAATATATATTTAGAAACATGCTGAATAGATACATGTACATGTACCATGAAGTTTGCTACTGGTAGTCCATTTTTACTGAGCCAGATTATCTTTATGGTAAACATATTATATGGTTGTAATCCGCTTACTGTATTTAACAGAAAACTGGTCATGCTGGTACCGGTAGGTGGGCAATTCAACACTATGGCCAATTAGTTTATGGATGTTGCACAGGTAGAGGGTAAAAGATGAGGTGACGTTTTGGGATCCAAAGTGTGACATTTTCCCGCCCCTGTTACCTCAGAACTTTGTAATGTTACCATTCTAGTATCATTAATTAACCCTAACCGCCCTGAATCCTCCAAAATCCTTTTTGCAAATTGGAGGAATTTGCAGGATTGAGGTTACATGGCAAAAGTGCGTTGCTGATTTCGGAGTACGCACTGTGTCAAGGTCTCGGGCCGGACCTTGTGTTGTTTATGCTCAGCTGTGCATAAATTTAGTCCTTGATTATACTTGAAATCCTCCGCACAGCTCCAGGATGTCACTGCCTCTGCCTCAGCCTATTGACAGTCATAGCCGGAGGATTTTGCAGGATTCAGGCAGTGGTCACCCCTCCATGGGCCATATTCAAGAAATAACGGAGGAATTTGCAGGATTGAGGCTATATGCTATTTTTCCATGAGGCCAATTGGAGGATTTTGCAGGATTGAGGCTACATCCTAGCAAAAAGGCCTAGGGAGTTAGGGTTAAGAATTATTTGTTTTAATTTGTTGGGTATATGCAGATTGCTATGAGTGAATTTGTAATCGCTCTTAAAATAGGACTGCATTAAAAGGAAAATACAACATTTGCAAACATCGAAAAATAAAACTACCAACATGACCAAGTTGTTACGAAATACCTTACTACTAAGATGTTGGTAAATGACATGCTTAAGCATCCTGTAAAATTATGGCACCTGGTGTGAAGCCATTTTCAAGAAAATGGTATATTTGTATACATTTCCAATGCTGGTCGGCCGACCACCGTTGGAAAAACCTAACTATTTTTCAATTACTGCTCAAAATTTACCATTTTTTTTTAGTCTAAATTTTGTTAAAAATTGGTTCCATGTTCATGAACGGGTGCAGGCCAGCTAGACTGGTTCCCTTACCTTACAATTTTCTGGTATTTTTTTATCCATTTCATCTTTAGTGGAGTCAGGGAACCAGACTACTTGAATATTGTCAGTGTAACAATATTTGATCTATTATACTAACCCCCCAAATAGTTCATTTCTGAAAATTACAGCAAAAGCCAATGATGTACATTCCCTTTAAATTAAGGAGTAAAATTCTGGATGCAATCTATAAAAAAAAAATCATATCTCTTCGATGTCAGATGTAACAACAGGGACAGGAAAAAATTACCCAAATACACAAACACAGTCATTTCAATGATCATGCACACAAATTTGGAACCATTAACCCTTATATCATGTGTATATTGTTACATTTTTTATAACGTACATTTGTATAATTGGGGGAGAAATGGTTAAATTAAAAAATGTGCATGGTTGTATGTTTGTACGGAAATTAATTTTTTTTAAATACGATTAGTGTGAAATTAGACACAAAAACTGAACCAGTGCAATTTAATTTTCAGTAATCGCATGCAGTGTCATATTTTTTCACTTAACATTTTTACTTCAAATGCAAAAAGAATACGTACACATGTACGGTACATGTATTTATGTACAAAAGGTACACAACTTCACATTAATCAGTTTTTGTTGGGACAAATGTAAACGGGTTGTGGAAACTCTTTACTTGAACAGTTTACGTACGTGTACATTACTTTAATATCGTTCACATTCAGTCCTGTACCTTGTTCACATTTAAAGGGAATGTACATCATTGGCTTTTGCTGTAATTTTCAGAAATGAACTTTTTGAGGGGCTTGTATAATAGATCAAATTTTGTTACACTGACATGTTTGAAGTTTTTTCTTCGAAAATGCTGGAAAAACCAAGAAAAACAAAAAACGTTCAAGTAGTCTGGTTCCCTGACTCCACTAAAGATAAAATGGATCAATTTCCAGATGCCGGAAAATTGTAAGGTAAGGGGACAAGTCTAGCTGGCCTGCACCCGTTCATGAACATGTTACCAATAGCAAACAAAATTTGGACTGAAAAAATGGTAAATTTGAAGCAGAAGTTGAAAAATAGTTGGGTTTTTCCAACGGTGATCAGCCGACCACTGTTGGAAATGTATACAAAAATACCAATTTCTTGAAAATGACTTCACACCAGGAGCCATAATTTTACAGGATGCTTTTGACTGTCATTTACCAACATCCAAGTAAGGTATTTCGTATACTTGATAGTTTTATTTTTCGATGTTTGCAAATGTTGTATATTCCCTTTAAGTATTCATGTAGCCACATATGGTACATCGTCCCCGCTTTCGGCCTAACATTCCTAACAACGAACATTGCACATATCGCAGAGTTGACCAATACTGCGCACAGGCATGTTCAGCGTACGGTTCAGTTCATTCGTACTGTACTGGCGTGAGAACATGACCATCTGGTTGCTAATCCTCAAATGAGATATTGGAAATTATGAGCAGTGTTCCAGTTAATATGAAAGGGTCTTTTTTATGCAATGTGATTGTGGAAATCTATTCAGAGATAAATTGTGTCAATATATTAGTTGGTTTTAGTACATGTTGTGGTGCATACAATATATTACACTTGTAATCATGTGCAGGAGAGAGGGTGAAATTACGGTCATACATTGGATTCTCTGATATGATTCGGGATGGTTGTGCTCAAGTGATCGAATTTTGTGCTGTGAACTTCTGCTTTGGTTATGTACAATGTACATGTATGTAAGTGACAGAATTTGACACAATGCACGTGA